CCAGTGGGGGATCAGGAGAGGAGGGGCTGCCACCCCGGTCATGGCCCCCACCTCTCCTGGCCTCCCCCTCCCCCTTAGAATCCTTCCAGGTTCAGCCTGGGCACTGCCTCCCATACCAAGCCCTTCCTGGTTCCTTTTGGTGTGAGTTCAGAGGGACTTTCCACACCAGGAAGAAGTTGCCTTTCCTTCCTCAAATTCCCTCCTATTTATTTTTCTGTTGCCATGCCATTCCCTCATGTTTACTTTTCCGCGGGTCCTGGCCGTTTGGGAGCCGGGCCGACCCTCCTCGGGGGCAGGGCTGCCTCTGCTTGGCTTTTGGGTCCCCGCACTTAGGAGAGGGATTTTCCGTCATCCGTTGGCCAGGTGCCAGCCTGTATCTGTCTCTTGATGAAATGCTTGCTCATTGTCGTGTGCAGCCTGGGTTTGGTGGACTGGAGGGGACGATGATGGCAACAAGGGGGCGGGGACCTTGGTGGAAGAAGCTGAGGAGGCTGGTGGTCAAGGGCAGGCCTCGGGGAGGCAGCCTCATGGGTCCGGCCCTGAAGGTAAGGAAGTCCCGGGAAGAGCAGGGGCTCTTCTTGCCCAGCCTCCTGGGCACTGAGCCAGGAGGAAATGGTGATGCCCGGACCTTGTTCTTTCCACAGGAGGGAAAGAAACCGCAGAAGAGCTTGTCCGAGCTCGGTCAGCCAGGGTAAAGCCCTGGTGGTGATGTGAAGGGCAGGGCAGATGGGGCAGCCACGGGATGCGAGCTGTGACCCTGGGGTCTCAGAGCTGGGGCTCCCCTCGCTAGTGGAGATGTTGTGACTGCATCTTGGGGTCAGAAAGACTTCTGAGGCTTAACTCAGTCAGTGCCTGCTGTGCCAAGCACAGTGTGCGTGTGTGTGCGTGTGCGTGTGCATGTGTGTGCGTGCGTGTGTGTGTGCGTGCGTGTGTGTGTGTGTGTGTGGAAGGTGGGGCTGGGAATACAAAGAGAAAATAGTTCCTGCCCTCGAGGGGCTGACACTCCATTTTCACATACAGTGAGTATCCACTTAGGTCCCCAGACCGAGGGCTGGAAGGGCCCTCAAACGGCACCTACTGCAACCTCCTCATGCCATACACGAGGAAACCGAGTCTGAGAGGGGACACGTTGGCTTCTGGGTGGCGCTCTTTCCCTCGGACCCTCCTGTTCCCCACTGGGGAAGATGTAGGGAGCTGGGACCCAGCCCCCTCTTCCTATGTGGGGCTTTTAGGGAGGAAGTCTCATGTGGGAGAAGGGGTGAGATCCCTGTCCCCAGAGGTCTTCAAGGCAAAGCTGGTGGAGCAGGGACTGCTCCGTGTACGGGCCGGATAAATGGCTGCCGAGGTCTCCCACCCATCTCTCCAGTTCGGTGGCTCTGGGCTCACATGTGAGGTGTCAGCCTGGCTGGTTATTCTAGACATCGAAAACCTTAAAAGACGTTGGAAGAAATCCGAAAACGTCGTCTCGAGGGTCATCCATGTGAGCCGCCCCTCGGATTGGGGGGCGGAGGTCGGCAGGCTGGACCTCGCCCAGCGTCCAGCACTCTGTCCTGTACTCCGGTGGCTGCGTGGGCGCCATGTGCTCACTGAAATGAGCGCCCACGGAGGGCCCTCCCACCAGGGCTCCTTTCCTGAGAGGCGGGCCCCTGCCAAGGGTTTCACAGGAGACAGGAGGAGGCGCTATCAGCGTGGACTTCAGCGTCACCCTCCAGGACAACGTGAGCCCCCTGAGGGCAGGAAGGTGCCGGCAGCCAGGCTTTCCGGTCCCCTCTGCTCTGGCTGCTGAGAGCTACCCGAGGAGGCCTGTGAGCCGACCAGGGCCAGCGTGGGCTCCGAGGGGGCGTGTTCTCGGTCTCTTCTCTCTGAGGGCCACCTGCTGAGGTCAGCCTGAATGAGGTCGGTGCGAGGGCTGCAGGTCATCCTGGGGCCCAGGCCGGTGCCACAGGGAAGAGGCTTCCTGTCCCCCGGCTTCTGAGAGGAGCCCCCCACCGGTCATGGCCTGAGGGCCTCCTCTGTGCCAGGTGCTGAGATCTAAAGCCACAAGTAAAATAGCCTCTGCCCTCATGGAGCTGACATTCCTTGGGGGATGGAGGATTGGGAAGGTCCAAGCTGCGGGCGTGGTGGTGGCAGATCAGGAAAAGCGCCATCAGAGCTGAGCCTGAGAAGCAGGGGTGCCACCCTCCACGAGGGCACTCCCCTCCCCGGGCTTAGCTCCACTGGAGTCCCTCCTGCCTGAGGGGGCTGGCCCATCCTCACACTCTGTGCTGCAGGGCTCAGCTCTACAGAGGGGATTGTTGCAAGGCAGAAAGGAGCGCGCATACTCACCAGGATGACAGGGTCTTTCCTCATAGGCTTATCCTCCGCTGCCAGCACAAGGAAGTTCACCAGGGATCGCAACATCACCAGCAGGATGGAGAGGGTGAACACAATGAGCTCCTGACGATTCTCCTGGAGGATTCCTCGAGTCACATAATAAATGCAGAACACTGACCAAGACAAATGAAGAGAGAGACATGGCTGCAGCCCCTGCAGAAGCCCTTCCTAGCCAGGCCTGATGACCTCCCTATGGAGACACAAAGTCTCAGTCCTAAGGGGGACTCAGCGGTCATCTAAGTCTCACTTCCCATTGAGTTCAGAAATCCCCAACCAGGATTCACTTCTAGTGGCCGGAAACTCACTACTTTGCCAGGCAGCTGATTCTGGGGTTAGGACATGTCTGAATGCCCTTCACGAGCTGGCTCCCACCCATCTTTCCAAACTTCTTTCCTATCACTTTCCCCTCACATGCTCTACTTTCCAGCCAAGTTGGGGAATCCATCTCCCACCTCCAAGTCTTTGCACAAGCTGTCCCCTATGATGGGTATGACAGCACAGCCCCTTCAAGGTTCAGCTCAAGGGTCTACAGAAGGTCTTTCCTGATTCTTCCAGGTGTTTGTGTCCCCCCTACCCCTGCACATTACTTTGCCCCCAAAGCCCCTGGCACTATCAAACATTTCATCATCAGAAGCATATTATTTCATCAGAAGAAATGACAATAAAGAGGCAAAATTAATTTACTTATTCAATGCCACACCAAGCACACTACCAAAGGATTTTTTTATAGAACTAGAAAAAATAATAACAAAATTCATATGGAGGAAAAGGTCAAGAATCTCAAAAGAAATAAGGAAAAGAAATGGGAACAAAGCGGGCTGGGCAATGCCAGATCTCCAACTATCCCACAAAGCAGTCAGGACTAAGCCAACCCGGTACTGGCTGAAGAAAGGTATTGATCAAAGCAGCAAATGAGGTAGACGACAGACAACAGACGCACAGGCACCGATAAAGGGCTGTGGCCCCAGCCACGGGGCCCCAAGGTAAAGGACTCATTGTTCGACAAAGCTTGCAGCAGCATGGAAGAAGTCAGGCCAAAGGGAGGACACTGGCTACTGCCCTGAGGCTTGGCCAAGCGCCAGGCACACTGTGGGCATTTAGTCAGTGCTCACTGCTTGCTATGGCCTCAGGGCGCTTCCATGGGATCTGCAACTGACCCCTCATCTCTCCTGTTGTCCCTGTTAGACCAGGAGCTCCTTGATGGCAGGACTGCCTGGCTTTACTTTTTCCTATTGTTTGTATTCCCAGGACCCAGCACTCTGTGCTTTGCACACAGTAGGTACTTAATCAATGTTTTATTCATTCATTCAATTCCTTTGTAGGGATGTAGTTTGCACTTGCTTCTCTTGTAGATTCTCCCCAGTGGACTGTAAGCTTCTTGAGGGCAGGGACTATTTCATTTTTGTCTCCCGCGCCCTGTGCCTTGTGCGGTGCCTGGCTCATAGTAGGCATCTCCTAAGTTTTTGCTGACTTAAACTGGGAGGCTCTGTGTAGTGAGTGGACAGCAGGACCTGAAGCGGGGAGGCCTGGGTCTGAGTCTGGCCTTGGTGACTCTGCACCCCTCAGCCTCATTTCCCACCCCTCCCGCACCAGTCTTCTTCCCCTGTCTCTCCCAGGACAATCTCCAGACTCCCTGCTAGCCCGGTCCCCCCAGCTCCAGCTTCTCAGGGTCACAGCCCTCCTCTGCTGGCTTTCTAGAGTCACTGGGCTGAGTCTGATGTTCTCCTGGGCCAGGTGAGGTCTGGGGCAGAGGACGATGGGGCCTCAGGGCATGGTCCAAGACTGAGACTACAGATGGATACCCCCAGAGAAGGCCTCGTCCACTTGGGTCAGGCAGTGGAGAAGTCAGGGCCCCTGGAGTGTCCTGGAAGGAAGGACGCCGGTGAGCACAACACAGGGGCCCATGCTGCCTCACTCAGCAAATTCCCCATGGACTCTGGCCAGAGGAAAGGGGAACGATTCATATTGCGGGTGGCCTCTCGCTGGGTTATCACGCCGATGGTACAGGTGGCACCTTCCAGGGAAAAGACAACCAGTCAATCACTGCCCTGACATCAGGGAAAGGTGCCTGAGTGATATCTCGTAACTAGGTAAATAATCCCAAAAAGGCATCGGGAGCCCTGAGAACTGACTCCAGGGTAGTGTCCTTCTCCTGGGCTCCTCCCCATCCATTGAGGGACACACCCTGTTCTTGAGAAGCCCAGATTTCCCAGGGGGCACAGCACGAAGCATATTTACCTCATTTTATGACTAAAGGATAAAGAAAGTCCTCACCCGACCTCTGGTTCACTGGCCTGGCCCAAGTTCCTTTCCCATAAAAGAAAATGGCAAGGAAGCCTCGTTGGTAACTTCTCAGAATTTCAGTATAATTCCAAACCACAGCCCAAGCTCCACAGGGGGCCAGGTCGAGATCACAACTATTTTCAGGGACAGAGCTAACCCGTGAAGGAATCACCCAGCCCCAGTAGCCAGTGCTCTCTGGCCCTTGCTCACCCAAGCTGGCCTTCCATCATCAGGTGCCCGGAAGGAAGGGCACCTGTAGGTCTGACTCCAGGAGGAAAGTGAGCACCCAGCCAAGCTCCTTGCGCCCCTCTGGCCCCACCAAAGTCCCTCATTCTCCTCAGGTCAAACTGTCTGCCTCGGGAGAGCGCCAGGCCCTCCCACACCCTCCCTACAGCAGACTCCTCAAGCTTCTGCATCTCCCCTGAGCCCTCCCCCCACGCTCCCAGGGCACAGGCTCTACCCCTTCCCTCCCCCTTAGCAAAGACAGGTATTTCCCTGAGTCACAAAGATGCCCAGGACTCCTGAGGACAAGCGGCCACTCTGAGCAGCCTTCCATTCCCAACGTCCAGCTGTGCTGAAAGGAAGCCCGTGACCTCCCATCTCGGAGAAAGTCAACGGCCTTGGGCAGACGTCTAGATGCCAGGCCCAGCTGGCCGGCCCCAACCGTCATCGCCAGATGGCAGCCCCACATTTATCCGTGTTAATAAGGAAGAGGCCAGAGCCAAGGCCATCTCTCAGACAGAGGGAGCTAATCGGAGTGGTTCTCAAGATGGGGCCGGGAAGGGCTTCTCCTCTCCATCAGGCAGTCGTACAGAAATCAGTCACCGTCTCACTTAATGAAGAGGTGGACGCAGAAGCACCTCTCTGCTGGCTCTGGTCTAGGCCGGGCTTCCCCCGGCCAAGGCCAAAGCTGGGCTCCCTCCACTCCTCAGCTTCTTGTAGGAAGGGGCTCAGTGGCCCTCGATTTCACCCCCCTCCAGCGCACAGCCCCCGAATAAATGCGTGTAAACATCAGTCGATCAATAGGTATTTTTGAAGGGCCCACCATGTGCCACACACTGTGCCAGGCCCTGAGGGGGACAAAGACAAATCCAAAGCTCTCCCTGCCTCCCAAGAATGCGATAGGGCAGAGAATACATTTGGGACAAGATACCTAGAGAGGATTCTAGAGGCAATCTGAGGGGAGACACTGGCAGTTGGGGGACCAGGAAAGGCCTCCTGCAGAGTGCGAGACTGGAACTGGGCCCTGGAGGAAGGCAGGGATGCCAAGAGGCAGAGGGGAGGAGGGGGACAGGAGAAACCCCAGTGTCTGCCCTCAAGGCAGTGAGAGAAAGGCAAACCACACAGACAGAGGGAGAAAGCCCAGGGTGCACGGAAATCAGTGGTATCAGGAAAGAGGGAAAACATGGAAGGAAGGAAGGAAGGGAGGGAGGGAAGGAGGAAGGAAGGAGGGAGGGAGGAAGGAAGAAAGGAGGAAGGAAGGAGGGAGGGAGGGAGG